GAGGGAGCACATCCCCGCTACTGCCAGCCATATAAACTTTTACTTTTATGTTTAAACAAATACCAAGAAATAAAATGTTACAAAAATGAGTCACAGCAACACAACGTGAGCTTCTCGAAGCTACTTGTACAAAAAAATGACACTTTTTTTGGTCAATTGGTTCTTTGTGAGGATTTTTTTTAAAAATCTGTGATTGTGAACATAACAAACAAGCTCTAAAAATGTCTAAGACTTAGTGCGTTACAGAAAAAAATATAAAATACTGCTAAAAATGTAAGACACCACAATACACGGGGGTAAAATGAGCTTATTATTTAAAAACAAAAAAGTTCTCAGGAAAAAGTACACCACTTTCTGTTTGAGTTCATCTTGTGCTGTGTTAGTAGTCAGGGCATTCATTTCAAAGGTCTGCCCATTATCATGGCAAGTAGTTATTGCACAAATGCAAAGAGTTAATTTAATAAAAATGAAAAGGGACATGAGGGAAACCATTTTAAAAAACAAAAGCACCCCCACCTCCAACTAGTTAGTCTCAATTTACTTTGGATTTAACGTCCAAATGCACACACTTAACATTCTTGGATCATTTACAGAGAGTGGGACAGACAGTGCCAGTTTTCTTAAAAGGAACAGCAGAAAACGGCTTTCAACGCAGAAATGCATAGACTATTCTGAAAGAAATGAAAACCTTTCGCGAAAATTATCTAATAGTTTATAGTTTAATGTAGGACCTCTCCCTCCCTCTTTCTAATTATGCCAGGAGAAAATTATGGCATTGGGGAAAATGTTATTTTTGAAAAATTAATCCGATGTTCTTAGTGGGATGTCCTCAAAAAAAGGCAAAGTGCAAGTTTGCTTCCAAATCCACAGATGAGGTGATGCGCCCTGCAACCATCTCAGCTCCTTACATCTTTGCCTTCTGTACAGCTCTCTTTTGCAGGGCCCATGCTGGTTCAGTGCTTACTGAAGGCCCTTTATATCGTCCTTCAAGCATACACATCCCTCCCTCATAACAAACAAGACTATTTCTAAAGCAACATTTCAGGTGTTGTTTAAGCAGCTCTCTCTCTCTCAAACCGTTACCTACCCAAAATGCTTGTCTTAATGTTTCTACATTGCAAGGAAACCAAAAAACTCCTCTAGCACAGATATAAATTTACAACTAGCATTTTCATATTCATACCAGGAAAAATTGCTGCTGCACAAGGTTGTTTTGACCAACTTCATATGTAAGAAAAATAGTTATGAATTCAGAAATTATAACATAGGCCAACAAAGATGAACATTATAGGATACCAGTCTCTCTTGTTTTAAAGTAATACTCTTGAGTAGATTGCAATGTACCTTGACAAAGGGCTACTGCATCTTCATGAAATCTTAAGAGAGGCTCTAGGAGGCTTAGGTTATTTTTCGTCTCTCTCTTTGTATTGGAGTTTCTTCTCTCACAACTGAGACTTTTTAATCTCAATACTAAATGGTTTTTAATATTTAAATACCAATATTTATAGACATTGATATATAGTCCCTTTAAAGTGGCTTGCTCCAGAAAACACAACATGTTGATATGGTATTCATTAGTCAAGTACATGCAACCCATCCAATTCCCAGATCAGGTAAATTATTCTAAACAGAACAGAATGAGTTTGTGGCACTGGATCATCTATGTCCATTTAAGCAATAAGAAGTGATATGTATATTTCTGTTATGTTTATATAAAAATCTTCAAAAGGCATTTTAAAACACTCTCTTAAATAGGAAAGACCAGAATTTTGTTCTGTTCTAACGATGAAACACTAATATATTTAGACATATGACGCTGTGTAAAGAATGAGTTCCAGAAATAACAGAGAAGTGCTAGGGACTGAGGAGGTAGGAGTGTGATGTAGAGAAAAAAAATTCTTATTCTTCACAAGTCCCAGTTAAACTGGAATGACCTTACGGTGAGTGTATCACCATTTAAAGATGGCATGGCTCAAGAAATTGACATGAAGCTGTAAGTGCTTGTTTTAAAGTCATGTAAGAATATGGTGAAAGTCAGCTATAACTGGAGATCACATGGGTGCTTGACCAATCAAGTTTTTTAAATGCTCACTGAGAGGCCCATTAGTAGGATATTTGAGAATCTGCGGTTATGCATGTAAGATTGCTGCACAATGGTGGACTATTTATTCCAAAATTCCATCATGCAAGGATAACCAGTGTGAATATTCTCTTCAGTCACCTGAATACTCCTAGACTAAAGCTTACTTTTGCCTACATTGGGCATACAGTGTGTTAGCTCCTAAACATAAAACTAGAACTTCTATTGCACAACGTTTTAAATGCACAGTAGTATTAAGTGCTCTTTATCAAAGCGATTAGTAACCTTGGGCTACTGAAACTCACCTTAAACAGACTTTTTTTTTCTGAAATAAAAAGTAGGCTCTTGTGTATGCTGAACTCTAGATCACTGTGCTTTAGATTATTCTCAATGAAGAGATGAGAAGATAAGGCACCTTTCTGATTACAGAAAGTTTGATACAAGAAATATAGGCTAAACACATCTAAAATTGCGTGATAGCATTGCTTAAACGAAAAACATTTCAGAATAATCTTAAAAACATCCCCCTCCACCCACCCCGCAAAAAACAAATAAGTATGCGATCCATGAACTTCTTCATTCCTGAGGAGGATGAAAAAGAAATGGAAACCTCTGATGGAGGGAAAGCGGGGAGAGAGAAAACCCACCCAACAGCACAATATAGCTGTGTTGCTTATTCTTCATCTGCCCTCCTTTAAGCTAGTTTATCTAGAATACTTACTGTATATACCATATGAGCATTCAGAGGTAACTAGGTGCTTTGGAAACTTTTTTAAAGCTAATTAATTTATACATATAATACATTAAAATAGAATTAAGGGTCTAATGAAAACTAACAAAAGCCAGAGAAATGCAGTAAACCCTAAGTACCAATCTTACCACACATGCAGATTTTTTTTAGTTCCACATATGCTTCGTTTTCTTTTAAAATATCTGTTTCTCTTTCAAGTAGTCAAAGTCCCGTGAGAGGAACTCAATATACAATACACCTCATAGTAGGATTTTCAGCATGCACGGGGGTGCCAGAGATAAATTTCTGGTTTTGATTTATCCCTTGGTTTAATTCACTCATTCTCCCGCCTCCCCCTCTTTTTAAAAAGCCGTTCAATATAAAGAGTGGCAAAATAATTTGCTTTAAAGGGGGTAATATTGCTCCCTTTAATTGACCATAATACTGTATAGAAGTGAATTCTTGATAGGCACAGCAGAGCAAAACCTATTCATACAGGATGAGTTTGGGATATGATTTCATCCTTAGTTCTGAACTATCCAGCTTTTGTGCATCTCAGCCAGACCCTTGAAATTATTTTTATGTATTCTGAATGTGAACTTTTTTTTCCCCCTTCATGTTAATTAAACCTTCATGTTCAAACAATCTGATCCCTCAGCAGCCCGCAGGCCCTTTCTTGCAACATGGATTTTGCCTGGCAAGTGGGAAAATGGCACTCTATGCATTAACATACACATTAGCATGGAAATATCATTTTTAAACCTGCTATCCAGCCATGCCCCAAAGCATATAATTTACCTAATAGATTGCAGCAATTCCTTGTGGACCCACTAACACCTAAACTGTAAATATGCTCCATATTTAGAAACTTTTCCAACAGGAATAGGGTAAATATATATTTTTAAAAATGCGTATGACTGACCTGCACAGCTGGAAGGGGGTAACTCAAGTTAACATGTTACTACTATTGTTACCAACAGAAAGACTGTGCTGTTACAAACATTACCACAACATTACAGAGTCACTATGCAAGGACTCCTATCACTACTACTACAGGAAATTACTGAAGTAGTGAAATGGATCTTGACTTGATAATACAAATATCTCCAAAACTAAAATGAACAGCCATAGATATCCTCTGATGGAGGGACTACGGGAAGTAGGGTGGTAGTTAGTATTTATGGCAGTTTCCTAATATGATTATTTGCCATGTAACTTTTATACGGTCAGGGCTCACTTGACTTTTCAGTTTACTAAAGAAATTGCAGTGAGACACCAAAGTTGCCTGATTTTGTAATAGAAAGAATCAAGAGAGAAAGCTCTTAAACATGCAGTTGCCACTGAAGTCAATGGAAGCTGCATGCTTGTATGATGGCAAAACTTGCCCTCTGGCAGGAATCTGTCAAAATACAAAGGATTAAATAATCACAAGTATAATTTTTAAGTAGACATTTTTCCTTCTAAACATTTTTGTGCCTGAACATGCTCATGAACGGTGATCAACTGACAACTCTGGTAACTCAAGCCCATTTTTTATCTATGTAACAGATATGCAGTGAAAGCTTCCCCGTCATTGCCAGCGTGCCCAGGGCGTGTCAAAGAAGGGGTGAGAAGGGAGTTTAGTCTCCACAGCCCATCAATTTCTGGCCTTTTCAGAGGATGCTAATAAGGGTGCCAATTAGTAAAAAGTCATGTGGGTAACTCTTGTGGCTTGAACACTTCTCTGCAAGAAACGGACCTGAGACCAAATAATTTGTTTTACGTGTCAAACAACAACTCTATTGGGACAAAATTCATCCCTACACTAAGGACCATGACAAAACCAAAGCACCACTTAAGAGATATTTTCTAGGGCTTGACTGGGTTTTTAAGTAATGCAGAGGCCAATAGCTGACCCTCTCCAGAGGAGAGTCTTTTAATCATTGTACATTAATAGGCTATGGCATATCGCATAACACAAAATTTAGTAATTCAGATCCTGGGGTGATAAAGGTCATAAAACTAAGTATCTGGATACATAGGATAACAGTGGACTTTTTTTTTCTTAAAGTGTATTATTACATATATTTAATGCATGGTATATTCAATATCAACTATATAAAATTAAAAAAATGAACTGAGGAAAATAAAATGTTTTTTGATGAACGAATAGTACATACCAAACTCTTATATTGTGCTTTTCATCCATAGGTCTCAAAGCACTTTACAAAAGAGGCCAGTATCATAATCCCCATTTTACTGATAGGGAAACTGAGGCACAGAGAGGCACCCAAGGTCACCCCGATGACAGAGCCAAGAATGGAACCCAGCCCTCCCAAGTAATGTTTATTTTCATTATTTAAAGTAACTTGGAATTATATTTTAAGCTGTTTGGTACTTTCTGAAAACCTTGTATTTATACAAAACATGTACAGGCCCTTTAATTTTAAACCGACTGCATGTAGGACATGGATAACACATGTTAGTGTTTAGCTCGAGGGACAACAGAAAGCGCCATGGAAACTGGAAGGCCTAGCATAAGAGTAAATTAAAGTGAATGCTGCGTTTTACATCTGTTATACTGCATACGTTAAACTAGGGAAGATCAGCTACAAGAAGCCTGTCTTGTTAGGGGGCTGAACAAACATCCACTGAAGAGAGGAAAGACTTCCATTGACTTCAACCGACACTACATCAGACTTTAAATCATGTTTTCCTCTCTCCCCATCTTTCTTACAATCTCCATGAAATCCTGACAAATAACCCATGGAATTCAAGTATATGGATTGTTTTTAAGACTCAGTACATATGTAGATACACATAGGCTGTACACAAGAGAGATGATTTAAAGAACTCACTCACTTAAAAGGAAAGGTAAGATAGACAAGTGAAGGAACAAATGTACCCTCCACCTACATGTCAAAAATTGTTATGAATGTATTTATTATAGTTGCAATAAATCCCTTTGCTACATAACACTGTTGATTTCTTAGCAGCCCTGCTAAAGGCAATAGCCCATATTACTGACATTTCAGTTTAAATAAGGAAGCGGTTTTGGATTTAAGTGCAAAATACATCTGAAACCAATTACTTTTTTTTGGTATTTTTATAATTTAAATATGGTCAAAATGTTTTTCCATTTCTAAATTACCAAGTTCCTGCCAAGAGCAATTTTTTTTTCACTTTATAGTGGAGTTCTAAAATCATAGAAATTAGGGATTTTAAGATGGAAACTCTGACCAGTCCTGGTCTGCAGGAGTACTAGTAGCAACTGCAATCTCTTTTATCATCTTTGTCATGATTCTGTGAGATTTTCTCTTAACTTTATTTAATCAGCATTATAATCTCACTTTGAGCTAACACCGGAATGACACACTTTTCCTCTAGCTCACTGTTTTCACTTTTAAAAGACAGCAAATAGTAATATTTTTACATAACGAGGACTAGAGAATATTGCATAGAATTCTGTAGTGTTCATTAGCCCCTTCTCTGTAGCACCCCCACATGAAAGTTATGTGAAAATTATTGCAAAAATCTCTTATAAAATGTGAAAGGCATGCATCCAATTTTTATTTCTAGAGATATCTTATTCTATTAAAAAAGCTTATTATTAAAGGGGTCCTTGATAGATGCTATGGATGCAGCACACCAATGCAAGGCTTAAGGAGTGGCTCTACCCACAAAGTCTATTTATAAATGTTGCATGAGTGCCAGTTACAATAAAATGATCAAATTCTATGGCATCCTGTATTTATTTTATCCCGTTGATAAAGAAAATTGCATTTGAAAAAAGGAACAATTATAATAAACAGGCATGCTTCATCCACTTTCCATTAACACAATAATAAAAGAGACCATTCCAGTTAGTTAAATCTCAAAATTGTCCTCCCCTTTTTGCACTAACTACAGAGAGATAAAAATGACAATTTTACCTACAGTATAAAAATAGGTATGTTAAAACAGCCTGTGGCCTATCCTTCCATTGCTTTAGACAAAGTCTGAACTGTAAACAGAAACAAGGTTTAAAAAAAAAAAAAGATGTTAAAGAGAACATAAAAATGGAAAAACCTGTAATGCTAGAGATATGTATGTGCTTTTATTTCGCAGGAAAGGTATTGAACAGGGTGTCTTCAGCAAGTGCTTTATTGTCAGTATTCTTGACTCTATAAAATAACTGTGCATGGAGAACAGCCCCCACATGTTGAACATGTGGTACCTTATATACAGCCTTTCACCTTTCAACTAATGAGTGACTAAAAAGCATTGAAGAGTCACAGTTCCAACTCTTTTACATTACTTCTCCAGTAGCTCTTTATGAAGTAATGAATAGGAGTATAATACTAATTTTCCTAATAACAATAATTTCAATGTACTTCATTAGCATAAAAGACATATAGCTAAAAATCATTCACCACAGATACAATTTAACCCTTTTTTTAAACTTGGTAACTAATAATTAACAACTCTACAAATGGGAGAGCAAGGTATCTGGTAAAGATTTGTAGTGGGATTCCTAACAAAGTCTGGGGTCATCCCAATGGCATTCTAACAAACAGTTTTATGTACATTCTACCTATGACATTATGCATTAAATAATGAAAGAAACTAAAGCATTAATAAAGTGCCAAAAGACAGGGAATCCCAAGAGCATCTTAGTTGACTAATTTTATAATAAATACTGATGACAGCCCAGGGCAGAATGGGGTGACTTATAAAATTGTGAATGCTATTTTCACTCAAAAAAATTCTATGCACTGTAAATAGTACAATGAAGTTTACAATTAACTGTTAGTGTTATAAGAGAAACACATCTTCTACAGCAGAACTACAAACAGGCTTTAAAAAAACTGATATAGCATTAACAAAAGTAAGGAGAGACTTTTGAGTGTTTGGCTCCTCTAATGTAATTAGCAGAAACTTGAAAACTACAAAAAGAAAGAAAAAGGATACTTTTGAAGGCACTTAAGTATTGCTTATCGAGAAGAGAGATTAACCCTAAATGCTGCATTTGGGTTCATCCTGTAAATAAAATTCTACTTCCTGTGACATCTCTCAGTAAGCATTATTGAATGCAATAAAGATGCATGCTTATCCAATAACAGTTCTTGGGATCATAATTATGCAAGATAATAAACAGAACCCCAACAAGCAAGTACAATTTAACCACTTGACTGCATCAAGCACCCAGATCTCAATGTGGAATTAATAGAGGGTAAGCAACACATGGCAAATATACTGTTCTAAAGTAAACAAAGAAAACTGGTAAGTTAGAATGTAAGAAAACATCTGGATCTGTCTAATTAAAAGTTCTGTCTCTTGGCTGAATGGAAGATGTTTATATTTTGTTATTTATGTTCAGGTACATGCATTTGAATGGGACATACAGTCATAAATGGAGCTGTGTTTTATAAATCAAACCAGAACATTTGCTTGTAAGGAGACACTGTGGTGAACAGAAGATTTTTAATGGTAACATTTTGATTTGCCATCTCATTTGTTGGAAGTTCTCTCAGCCAAACTTTATGTCCCTATAAGTAGAAGTTACAGTAATTCTAGAAGGTGCACTCACATATTCCAAACTTTTTCTTCAGCTCACCACAGTAAGGGCCAGTTGCTATCTTTGTTTATCAAATCAGAGCTGTGCACCACAAATCAAGTCTCTGGTTACTCAAGCAGGTAATTTGAAACGACTGTAACAGCAAAAACAGTTAAATAAATCTCTGCCTTTCAGCCTCCTAGAGCCTTCTTTTCTTATTCATGAAAAGGCTATTTTTTTTAGTGTACTGACTCTTAATTTGTGAAAAGTTAACTAAGTGCTGTTGTTGCATGTTGAGACTGTAAATGAAATACATAATTTCTAAAACATCATGCAAGAAATGTGGGTTCACATCTTACAGTCAAAGTCCTACTAGTTAATTAATACAAGCACACTGAGGTGTAATATTGGGAGCATACCTTTAAAATCGGAACTCCTTTCCCCACCCCCCCAAAAATCAAAAAAGTAATATTAATTAAACTTAAGTAATGAATGCACCATTAAAGTGTCATCAAAAGATGCTGACCTAAGACAAAGGTTTCAATGATACACAATACGGTCAAAAAGTCTTCAATCAATAATATACAGTATGACAACTACATCTTGTAAATTATACCCAATACTGCCGGCAGTCTATCCCTCTAAAGAATATTTGCCCCCTTTCATCCCTTCCTAACAATCAGATAATAAAATACAGCACCTATAAATAAGCAAAAAAAATATATATATATACCGAAATCATCTATTGTTAGTTTTAAAGATATGGCAATAAAGGAGTCTAAATTAGCAAACTTGTAGAAGCCATAACTGATAAAACAGCTTATTGAAAAAAGGTGGCAGTAATGCACTCTATGTGTGCACAAGTACGTAAGAAAATACACAGACGTATAAAATTGCGCGCGCGCACACACGCACACACACACACACACACACACACACACTCTCTTCCACACACCTCTATGCTCACGCATATACATATAGACAACAGGAGGAGTTAGAGACAAGTCAGAATTTGTACTTGGATCAGTTTATGCTGTGCATAAATTAATCTGAAGAGGCTACATTTTTGAAGGGCAGATTAGTCTGGAGTGGGATTCAAGAGCATGAATATTTTGGTTTAATGTTTGGGCTATTTACACCTTGGTCATAGCCGATCTGAAACCTGCAATATCTTCTTCCTCTACACAAAAATAAACTTCCCACAACTAAAACATTTAAATCAGTGCTTGTGGTCGGAAGAGAGTCAGTAAATGGCCAATTCCTTCTTAGTGGTGAGAGATATCAGTTACACACGTAACTTAATCTAACTGGATTACATGTTAGTTGTAGCTTCAGGTTGTAACAATATGTCCCCAGAGCTGCAGGCTGAAATATTACTGGCCAAATTTTTTCAGTTCCTTCTTTAACCAAAAGATACTAGATATACCACACACAATTCAAAAGAAATGATCCAATACATACTATTCTAAGTTGTCTCCTAAACCTCCTGGATATGAGGTCTGATCAGCGTGCTCTGTGGTTAGAGGTTAAAAAGCAGATTATAAAATACCTAGATTCAGATTTTTTTGTCCTGATTTGGCCTAAAATGGAGTGTATTAAACAAATTCTGGTCTGCAAAAGACCAGAATCAGTTAAAGCTATGAAACAATGTGCACTACGTGTCAATATTCTATTTCACTTACAAGAAAACACTAAGTCAGCTACCACAAATTAAGATATTTTCCTGATGTGACTTTTTTTGTTTTGTTAAAAAATATGTGGAGTAAATGTGTTTTTTTTAATTCAAAGTTTCAAACACAATTCTTTTTTTTTTCTTGAAAATATTTAGGAATCCAAACTAGTGTGTTTAGAGTCGGTTGACTGTGCAATCTCTTAGTGGCAACTGAACAGCTACAAAATTTTTTTTTCTTTTTGAAAAATCTCCCCTTTTTCCTGGTTTAAGAAGATAATAGTGTATTATCGCTCTGTAGCCATTAGATGGCAGATAAAAAGCCCCCTTTAAATATGTGGGTTTGATTTTTTTTTTATGTTTTTGTTTTTTTAAAGCCCACACCAAAGAGGAGGGCACAAGGCAAAGCTGTATGAGTTATTCCAGAAATTGTGGAAATCACTTAGGGCATTAATAAAAACACTTCAGGGTACAAAAAGCTTGACCACACATTTCAGTTTTCTTCCTTGAAAACACAAACATAAATTGGGCTTAACGCTCCTTTTGTTTTCTATATGCACCTTGGCCTATGGCGTTTTTGCCCTGTGGCCTGCAGGGCGGTAAGTGCGCAACACAATAAAACCAGTAGAGGTCCAGTTTAACTTTCCCAACTCTCTAGAGCTGGGCGAGTTTAATCTCAAAACTCCCATTCGACGGGCTCTTCTCGACTAGCGGCCTTCTCTAAACGGTGTATTATGTTGTTCAAGTTTGCTGCTTTCTTTTTCCTCAAGCTGTTGTCCCTCGTGTTCTTGGAGCTTACTGCCTCAGAAAAGTTGAATAAACTCTGAATAGAGTTGGCTTTCTGTGAGCCTGCAGCCAATGTGGAACTTGTACTTGGCAGACTTAATATCTTCTCTGAACTTTCTTTTGACTTGAAGGAGCTCTCCCCTGTAAGGACTGAGGTGGAGGCAGCTGAGGTAGAGGCATCCTCTTCTGTAGCAGAGTTTGGCATTGTCTCCAGAGTTTCCCCTGAACTTTGAGACCCTGGTGGAGAACTCTGACGCGGTGCTTTGAGCCTACTCTCATCATCAGTATCCTCCAGGCTCTCCATTCCCAAATGGAATGACTCAGTTTTCTCTGATGATCTGGCATCTTGTGGTACCTCTTCCCCGGCTTCAAAAGCTGACTCTGCTTGCCCTCCCTGAGACTTTGTGGTTGCATTGCTGTACTCATCTGCCTCCAGACCACTTGGTTTTCCTTCAGGTGGGCCTTCTGTATCCACACCATCACAACTGTCTCCCTCCTGAAGGAGAGTCACTTGACCCAGCCTGGCTCTGGCTTCCTGATTGGATTTCTTCAATGAACAGCTCTCGACGGATGCGAGATCTAGAAGACATGATAACAGAATGGTTAGTTTGGTGCTGGCCATTCATAATCTTAAACCACAGTAATATATAATGTACACTTTGTTAGGGAACTGACAAAGAAAATGAACACACATTCACAATAAACTTTTTCCTTGGCTTGTTAACAGAAATGCCAAATCTGAATGCTCAGAAGTGTTTACATATTCAAATTCAAAGGATGAGCTGAAGAAACAGCTGGAAAAAAAACATGAAATACAGTAAGGCTCCTCTTTAACACTTTCCTGTGATGTGCCATATGCCCACTTTTAAATAGCACATTATAGTAGGCTCAACCTACAAAGTCCATGTCCAGACAGAAATTCTCCCAAAGAGCAGGAGGAGAATGGGGATGTCGGATCTGGGTTTTGATTTGGACACCATTTTTACTGTGGGTAATAGTCACAATATGCCAAAATTTAAAGAGAAATTGATTCATTAGAAGATATTAACTCAATTACTTTGTGTGTCTGACATGCAGGAACCAACAGGGCTACAACAACACTGCATATCTAATTGTTGTAAATCTGTTTCCTTCTGACTATTCAGTTTAACAATTACCTCACACTCTGTGCAAATTTAACTTTTGTGCAGATAAAAGAATCGTTCTAGAATGACACTATTACTTCATACATACTGGGTTTCTAGTTTTTAACTAAACAATATCTGTTGCTTTAGGAGAACTTCAATCCAAGTTACGTATATACTGACATTTACAATTTTTGCAGGGTCACACATTAATTAAAAAGGGGATCAACAAACAAGGCCCTAAAGATCTCCCATTCTCACTGGAAGCTCACTTCTGAGAGCATGAATCTGCAGACGGTGCCTGAAGAACCTAAAGATTCCTTTCTGTTCGGAGGACACAGGACTTCAGAGGGATGTATTTCTTATTTGATTACAGCGGAAACAATTTATAAACATTCCGGTTTCTACACCTAAAAATTAGCTATAACGTGCCTAAAATTAAAACCCAGAACAAGTTGGGTTTTTTTTTACAATCAGGAAACCATGATCAAAAGTCAGAATTCTGACTGAATGACAAAGAGCCTCATCTGCTGGCTGCCTTATTTTTTTTATTCATAAATTCAACTTTAGAACATTAGAAGTGCACTTCCTGTCCTGTGGCTGTTGAGGAATTAATGCACTCCACATATGGATAAAAGTCACCCAATGTTCAATTTTGTGCTTCTTACAACATGAAATATGAAAAAAGCTAGAAATGTACTGCCTGCGTCATTTATTTGAGCCTCTCATAGGGGGATTACTAATCTCCTGGATCTCACAGGCAAATGAAATGATGGGGGGGCCTGCAGCTTTGCTTAGTTAAATGTATACTGCAAGATGCCCCCTCAGTTCTGAGATAGCAAGAAGGAGCCTCAGTTAACACAGTAACAATTTAGAGAAAATTTGTGTTAAAAAAAACCCAAACAAACCCAGCACTGGTTTTAATGAACAAGGGCTGCCTATTCTTTCAAGTCACAGATGAAAAAATCCTCTTCATGTTCATGTTTGTGCCAAGTTTTCAACAGAGCCTTAAAATTCTTGCAGGAACTAATGTACACTAGGAAGAACACAGACTAGCAACTGAACACTGGTGGAATGTCTGTTTTGTGTTTGAAGCTAATGACATTATTGACTTGCTTCAGAGACAGAGTACTTCAGCAGTAATTGCTGACAATGCTTTTTTCTGGGATTATGGGGCTATCATTTCCCTTCAGAGAATAATATTCACCAGACCAGGAACCATAGGTACAAATATTAATTTGCTATTAACATTCCTTCCATGCATTTTATGTTTATTACTAAGCTTTATTTACGTCGTATAAATCTCCTTTTCCAGGCAGCGATCCAAAGCACACTGCTCCTGGGGTGCTCATTGAGTCAGGAGAAGGAAATGGATAACTTCATGTCTGCCCATCTAAGAAATATGTCATTTAAAATGCCACAGTTCCACTTAGGAAAGTGAATCTCAGCATACTCTTTGAATATTTGGCCACAAATCTGTTTAATATGGGTCTGTCTGATGGATGTACAAATCCCTGGAATTGATCCCCAGCACACTAGGTCTGGAAGCCAATCAAGCACTTCATTAGCTAGGAGATAAAGTCTGTACAATAAACAGGAACTCGTGGCAGCAACTAGGAAATTCTGGGCATAGAGTGCCTATCAGTGGAAGATGACCATTATATCAACCACATCCTTAAGGCAATCTTCAGTGTTATCAAACAATGAGGACATCCTGGAGATAGTGTTGGAGTTCATTATACATGTCTTTGCACAATTTCAAGTAATATAGACAGACATTCAAAACAGCTATGCTTCTTTGCAACTTTTATAAATTAAATTGAATGGAGCTTAATCATTTATTAGCACTGGTCTGGGATTCAACAGAAAGGGGTTTAATTCTTATCTCTGCCACATGCTCTCAAGGTGACCATGGACAAGTCACTTAACACCTTTGCCTCAGTTTCCCATGTGTGAAATGGGGTTAACACTACTCTTCCTTTTTTCCATCCCTTGTCCTACATTTTAGAATGTAAATCATTTGAGGCAGGCACCATCTTTTTACATGTATTTTTTACAGCTTCTAACAATGGTGGTGGGAGTGCGTGTCTCAATTTCAAAAAGGGCCTCTGGAAGCTTCTTTAACGCAAATACATACATAAGAATAACATATATCTCAGTGTATGTGTTGAGCCTTAAGGGCTGGGAACAAACAGAAAGGTTTAGATTTGTTTGTAAAATCTTTTCTGAATATTTATATTTTAAAGTGAAATTCTCTCTCACAACTATTTCTGTAGTGCCTCTTGCTGTAACATAAATGCCAATACACATTCTTTCCACAAAGATGGGTCTGAGGGCATATTCTAATGCAGCAACAGTTGTGGAATGTGTGTGTCATAAGCCATATACCCAAAGGATGAGCACTGCTGTATCAAGATTCCTGAGACGCAGAATCCAAGACAGCGAGACATTATGAAACAGGTATTGAATGCAAAGGAACAGTACACTACAACTTGTACAAGTTCAGACAGAAGTTGTACCAAAGTAAGAGGTATGGGAGGTATAAAATAAGTCAGTTACCTGTTTCCATAACTGGTGCTCTTTGAGATGTGTTGCTCACGTCTATTCAATATACACAGAGACAGACAGACAGTGAGTGAGTGAGTGAGTGTCACATGCACTGGTGCCAGATTTTTCCTCAGAAGTATCCATAGGGGACCAGCTCCTGTGCCTGCTGGAACAGTGCGCACATGCCACACTATATGTGGTGCAGCTGGACCCCTTCCCGCCCTCAGTTCCTTCTTGCCAGAAACTCTGGCAGAGGGGAAGAAGAGCAGGATGTTGAATGGCCATCAGCAACACAGCTTAAAAGAACAACAATTACAGAAACAGGGAACGTGTCTTTTCTTCTTCAAGGCTTACTCATGTGTCCATTCAATATAGCTGACTCTGAGCAGCATCTGTGGAGGTGAGTAGGAGATATCCTGAAAGCAACACTGCTCTACCGAACCCAGCATTGTCTCTGGCCTGCTCCATGATGGTGTAATGGGAGGCGAACGTATGTACAGAAGACCACGTCACAGCCTTGAGGATGGGGTTGAAAAGGAGTGTGGGCCAGGAAGGGCATCAACCCTGAATGCAGAGGCGGCCACTCCCCCTATACCTTACTTGGCATGCTCTGGCTGCAGTGCTATAAAAGGGAGCAGCTCAGCTGAGTTGGGGCTGGCAGCCAGAGGGAGAGGATGTACTAAGCCAGCTTCCTGCAAGCCCCAGTGACTACCTAAAGGCCAGGACGCAGGCACTTAGGTTGGAGACCAGACACCTCTAGAGACCACGCTGGATTCGGGAAATAAGAGGAAGTAGCCAGAATGCAGAGAGAGGTGGCGAAACAGAAACTCACCAGTGAGCTGAGACCCGGGAAGAAGCCCAGGAACGGCAATGGCTACCGGGTGGGTGAGCTGCTGTCGAGGAATCAGCATGTTGCAGTTAGGATTTCCCCACTGACTCCGTGGTGAGAGTAAGGCACTAACAGGGCCCTGGGCTGAGGTTCAGTGGAGTGGGAGTGCCTAAACCCCCCTCTGAAGGGGGATGTAAACCTTTCCCCTACCTGCTCCCTCGCAAATAGACTCTGACCATTGGGTCATGTGTCATGCAGTGACTATTGAACTATGCTGCCCTGCCTATAGGATTCCTGCAAGGGGACTAGAGGGAAGGAACAGACAGACTTTGGGGGCAGCAATAGAGGCAGCAGCTGGGGAGAAAAAGGGTGGGGATAAGTATGCTAGAGGGGAGGTGGACCACTCCACCTGGAACAATGTCATCCCCATAGCCGTGTGACACGGCGTTGAAGAGATCTGTGCTTTGGTAGAATGCGCCCTCACCAAGGAGGGTGGCTGTACCCTGGCCAATCCGTAGCACATCTTGATGCAGAAGGTAATCCACTTAGATATCCTCTGTGAGGATACTAGAAGGCCCTTCATTCGCTCAGCATAGACCACAAACAGCTGAGAGAACTTATGAAAGGGCTTCATCTGCTCGAGGTAGAAAAGCAAGTGCCCTCCTGATGTCCAAAGCATGGAGGCACCGTTCCTCACTGATCTTATGCAGTCTGGGGTAGAAGACTGGAAGGAAGGTATCCTGACTCATGTGGAAAGCAGAAACCACCTTGGGCAGCAAGGCTGGGTGGGGCCTGAGCTGCACCTTATCTTGGGAGAAGGCAGCATAAGGGGGTTCTGATGTCAACACACGGAGTTCAGACGCTCTCCTGGCAGACCTAATCGCCACTAAAGAGGCAACCTTGGCGGAAACGAACGAGATGGAGCGGGAAGCCAGTGGTTCTAAGGGAGGCCCTATCAGCCTGGCAAGGACCGAGTGACGGTCCCATTGAGGCAGAGGGGCTCAGGCAGGAGGGAAGAGCCTCTCAAGATCTTTCAAGAATCTAGCTGTTCTGTACTGATAAAACACAGAGCGGCCTTGAAACGACAGCTGAAAAGCTGAGATCGCATCCAAGTGGCACTTTTACTGAAGTGAGTGAAAGATCTTCGGCTACGTCTAGACTACATCCCTTTTTTGTAAAAGGGATGTAAATTAGACGTATCGCAATTGCTAATGAAGCGGGGATTTAAATCTCCCCCGCTTCATTAGCATAAAAATGGCTGGCGCTTTTTTTCAGCATGGAGCTTTGCCGGAGAACCCTTTCCTTGGCTACATCCCTAAAGAGGACTATTTGTTAAAAACTGCTCACACTAAGAAGGAAACTATTTACAATAGAAAGAACTAGTATCAACAATACAAAGGTTTCAGCGAAAGGCTGAGGCAAGCAGTTCTAAGTGGAGTCACTGGTGGCAAGAAGGAATGGAAGGAAACGGAGTCTGGCTGTACTCGATATAGCAGAGCATATGGATTCCACTCCAGGGTGCGCTGGAGTGGGTCACTCTGCAGACACTACAGAGGGAAAATCTTCCCGCACAGGCGCACACACACCTATACTGAATGGACACGAGCAAACGCTCGATGGACCCACAATGCAAGCTACATTTGAAAATGGGCTTTTGACTTGTTTTAAAACATGACAGGCACCACATTATTTTCTTTCAAGATTCCTTATACTTAGAAGGGGAATCTTGCTCAGTTCCATGAATTCATTTCTTGTACCAGCCAGAACATATTAATAAATAATAAAAATAATGACATTTGTAGAGCACCTTTCTACTGAGGCTCTAAAACAGGGGAGGGGAACCTAAGGCCTCTGGCTTGCCTGGATCCAGCCCCCAAGGCTCAGGGATCCTCCCCAGCATTCATTCCTTCCTGCGCTTATTCTCCAACCCCCCTTGCCACCTGCCCGCAGGGCTGGAGTGCACAAAATCTACTAGCTTGGACCCCACTAGGCTGTGGGAAATGTCCTTCTCCTCAGTCAGGGGCCACGTAAGTGAGGATTTGTGGGTTTGATTTTTTTGCTTCTCACTTGTATGCAGCCCCCAACAGATTTTTCTGTGGTTCAACAGCTTCCAACCCATAAAAGGTTCCTTTATCCCTGCTCTATCAACACTTCACAGACATGACTTAAAAAGTTCACAACACCGTTATGTTAATATTCTTATTTTTTAGATGGTGAAGCTGAGGAAGGGTGAGCAAAAAGTGGTTTGTCGGCTAGATACTTGAATGTCTGCAGGTACAGCCGCTTGCAGCTCCTGTTTGCCATTCTCAGCCAATGGGAGCTGCAGGAAGCAGTGGCCCCGTGAATGACTGCACCTGCAGATGCTCAGGTAAAAGCAGCTGGCACTCCGCCAGGGTAAACCTGGCAAATTGCATTCAGTCTCCCCCCAGACCTAGAGTGGTAAGTCCATGGCTTGGTTTTTATAGGTGTTAAGCACTCAACAAATCCCATCTTCTTCAATCAGGCCATAAATAACTTGCTTATAGTCACAAAGCCAACGAGTAGCACTGGGAACAGAACCCAAATGCCTTATGCCACGCCCTGTGTTCCAACCATAAGATGATGGAGCTGCCTCGCTTGTACATATTTTACTTTGTTTAAAGCAGCAGGACTAGTCTGAATTAAAGTGTAGCTCGGTGTGGCTAAATGTGCTGATCGATCATGACTTGTCGTACTTTCGCACAATGTGCCTAACAGAAGATCTCATGATAATGAGGAAGATAACACATGTCACCAGTGTACTCTCATTCATCTGTATAAGTGAGAACAGCACATTTTGCTGTCAGGCTGAAGGGAACATATTTACATAGGCATTACTCCAACTTGGGTATAATTGCTATAAGTGAGAAATGGAATAGACGTCTGTATTTGGAGAACTTTAAACTAAGATGCTATATTTGCAGTGCACACAAATCAAATTTGACAACATTTAAATCAGTGTGAGCATAAATGTTACCACCTATCGGTGACTCTGTTTATTATTTTCTTTTGTCTACTACCATATATTCTATTTCTTAGCTCTGTCTTTTAAAGGAGTCTTTTTTGTGTCCATAGTGGCCTTGGACGTAGCAAAGAGGAGCTTAGAGGGAGAAATATTTTTAAATACAAATTGTTTGTTTTGAACTGTCCTATGATAATCAGGGACTCTTGGTTCAGAAAGCAAGGGAATGAAGTTTGAGTGTTTTCTTTTACTTCTCACTTTTTATCTGGATTATACTGACTGATTAATGCCACTTTCTGGGAGAAAAGTGTATTAAGGTGATGAGGATTTCCAATCAGTTCCTTGCTGACAAAAACAGGATGTGTTTATCCAACTCCTTCTACTTCTCACATGCTGGTCAAGCATTAGGTCTTCAGTAGGCAGAAATTATTTAATGCAACCAACTTGTGGTTCTTTATAATGGGAACAAGAGATTAAACTAAGACTCTAATGTCACTTCATTTCAGGATGACTCTTGGCATCAAGGATTTATCATAATAGTATAATAAATTTGCAGCCACCTCAAACATCATAGTTGTCACTAGGCTGCACACCATGGTCATCTGGTCCCAAACTACAGATCTCTCTCTATACCTGGAGCTAAATGAAAATCTTAATTTTCAGCAGTGTAGGATCTATGACAACAGAACAGTTCCAATTTCATCCAACAGGGGACAGTAGCACAAAGACTATCTAGATTACAACAGGAACAATAAATATTCCAAATGACGTGGACAATTATTTTAGTTTAAAGTCCTACTCTGACATATCAAATCAAAATGCAGGATTTCACCAAACTACTAAAGTCAATATGTGGGCATTTTTATTCCCCAGGAATTATTTTAAAACTGTTTGCACTATCATTATTACTGCCCATTCCTTGCTAGTGAGACATTCTATTCTGTGTCACTGTCCAGCACGAGTTAGGGAAGATAGAAATAACAGCCTTTTATAGAGAGACTATATTGTGCTGCCTAGAGATGCTGTGCAGGATGTGTACCGTACCTGTAATTGTGGAACCAGTTGATCACTGTGCTGGTTTTCAAGTTGAGTTGTGTAGCAAGTTCCTCAATGGTTTTTGGTGATGGGTATGGCTTTTGCTGATAGGCTCGCTTTAGAGCTTCTTTCTCTTCCGGTGCCAACACTACTCGTGGTTTCTTTAGCTGATGCTGGGGCTGTGGGCTGGCTCCCTGGCTATAGTCTATTCCAACCGAAGAGGGCTCACAAGGTTGACTGTCACTGACTGAGCTGTGCCGTCGTTTCATGTAGGCTGAAAGAGAAATACAGAACCAATGCAAAAATAAAGTCACCAAATACAAGAAATGTAGAATAAATGCAAAGATCCCATATTGCGAGGGGAAGCAGGGAGGTGTATGCAGGGAAGGAGAGAGCAGGAAATTCTGGGATAGATCAAAAAAAGACAGCAAGAGAAGGCAGAGAACAAAGGACAAACTGGCCATAAACTTTTCAAAGTTCTCCATCCCTTTGGTAAATATGAGACACAAATAATGGACATAAGATGTTAAGCGTGGTGCAGAGTTCTAAGGTAACCCAACAAACATGAGTATTTTATGAGTACCACATTTGTACATGTACATTCCTTTAGGATAGCTATGCTGTGCTGTAGCTGAAATGGTCCACGCTTCTTGGTATTTAAAGCTTCCTACTGAATTCAGGTAGAACTACTGTAGCTGGTAAAAGCTGAGGTCACAACAATGTTCCAACACAAGATGGCGCTTGGAACCTGTGGAATCCTCACAATGTGGTCTCAGCCCTACGGAACAGTTGAGAGGTTTGTTGCTTTTTCCTCCAGATCTTGTTTTAGATGAATATACTGGAGACAAGTTATAAACAATAAAAACAACCTTCTGTTCCTTCTTTCAAGCAAGATCTTTTTACAATGAGATTTGATGAGTGCTGCTGATTTGTGCAGATAGGCTCCTTCATCCCCACAGGGGTGAGTGCCATCCTGGTAAGTTCAGTGAGGTAAGAGATTTGGCTAATGATATCACTGCCTTGATTGACTTACACTGGGTGGAGGGAGATGGGATCATGCCACACCAGTTAGAGTCATGTTGAGGAGGCGTTTCCCTTGCAGAGGGGGAAAAAACGGTACTTACAGATGTACTTAATACAGTGCTGCAGTGGCCTGATCAACATATTTTAAATATTTGTTTATAAAATCTGGGACGCAACAGGCCAGATTCTTAGGTTGCTTTTATATCAGCCTGACACCAAACAAAGAGGCACTAACTTGACAATCTTTTAGAGCACAGACTCATAACAGACATCTGGAAGCTGGTGGAGTTGGTCACCTGAGCCAGCAACAGTCTTTCATTAAATGCATTCCTTTAGTATAGGCATTATCTTCAGGAATAGGATGCATAGATGATAAAAAAAATACAAAAGACTTTCATATGAACAGGAATGGGCCACTTTGAGATACAACTCAAGTTTTCTGTGTACAGATCTCAACCCCTTATAGTACCAGAGAGCTTTCATACAGCACCCCTCTTTTCCTCTGCAGAACTGCCAAGTCCAAGAGGGTATGTCTACATAGAAGGGCTAAAGCTAAATTAAGCGACACAACTTCAGCTATGTCAATTGTGCAGCTGAAGTCGAAACAGCTTAATTTGGCTTTTGGCACTGTCCACACAGCAGGAAGTCGAAGGAAGAACACTGTCCCTTCGACTTCCCTTATTCCTCGTGAAGTGAGGGTTACCATGAGTTGGAACAAGAAGTCCTCCAGCTCGACATTATTTCGAATTAAAGGCTTGTAGTGTAGATGTGTGCCATGTTATTTCGGAACCATGTCAGTTATTCTGAAGTAACATTGCTGTGTAGACGCACCCTTAGTGTCCAGCTCTGCTTTGTCATTTCACCTTCTACACTGATGGTGGCTCTAGTGGGATTTGTTATACACTGTCACAGGATGATCAAAGTGAATTTTGACATACTATTTATCTTTCCTGGGTACTTGAATTGCCTGCATTTTTTTGTCCTGACTATGATGTCTTGCCTGTTGGATTGACCAAATCCAGTTCAAATCTAGGATTTTACCATCTTTTGCTTCGCTGTTCTTGCAGACCCATGTTCCCTTGACGAGTCTCCCCAGCATGCACTCAGCTGGAAATAGCACACCAACTTCCAATAGAGCCTTTTAAAATATCATTCTTATCCTGCACGGAGCTGAATAAGCTTATTAGAAATGAAAGGATGGGGAAATATAGGGCATTAACATTTCTCCTGTTAGGCTTCAGAACTTTTCAGTGGAGAGTGCCAAGTTTGCAGCAGCATGCACAATGGGGTGGCATATGTTGTAGAAGCTAATTATTCCAAGTGAGGGAAATAGGGGGAAGGAATCTGATCTTGGTGAGTCTGAAGACCACTCTTAAAAGTTGATTTAACATAAATTAGAAATCTGCTGCACTGTTTCTACAGAACTCTCAGAGTGCAAGTTTCAAGTTGATGGGGGGAGAGGAAGATGTGCTCATCTCACCTTTACCGTAACAATTAAATTACTCCTGTGATAAAATGTGGCAGAGGAATAATTGGTAGTAATGTTTCACTGGTAACAGAAACTACTACAGTGTTCTTTCAGTGACATTACCTGAGTGGAAAGTTACATTGTTGATGTGACTCCAGAGTAGTTTAAGTGGTAGAACAAGGGGACACTTATCTGCACAAGAGAACTCTGGCGTGAATAGAGGGCTGAATTCGCTCCCCGTGCTCTGCTACCAGCATCGCACTTACATAGTTCAATAGAGCTCAGCTGAAGCCCTCAAACAATTTACAGCCTCATCTTTATTCAGGAAAAAGTTTCCTTTCCTACAGCATGTCTATTTCATGGGACTTTGAAAGTAAACCAGCTTAGAAATGAAGGCTGACAGAGTTATTTTAAATATTTTTATTTGGTTTTATTCAACATTCTATAGGATAATCTCTTAGGAATGTTAAAATTTGGTCCATCTATTTTTGCTTTATTTCTAATGCAGCAGAAGCCAACTCAGCTCCCTTTAGTTCACCGTGCTAAGTGGGAAACCTGAGAGGATTCCACTCCCAGCGGAAGACCTCATGCAATTTCTGAGAAGATATTTCATTGTGTTGTACTATGAGAAGTTAGTGTAGCAGGGATATGTTTCTCTTATTCACTTACAACAGGAGACTAACTCTTCTGTAGGCCTCTTTAATTGCAATTTTCAGAATAATTACAAAAATTCTTCATGGAATATTCGTGTAATTGTGAAATCAGTCAACGGTAGTACTTCTTATACTGTATTATTGTCATCCAGGATAATTAGGTAGCACTCTGCAACTCTAGAACTGCTGCTAGAAGTCAGTGTCTAGAGCAGCTGTGTTGTAGAATCATGTGATCATACTAAAAGATTGCTATTTCTCAGCAATGGATTCAAAATAAAAAGAAAGCTCTGAAATTCACTGGACATGTTGCACAAAAAAATGTCAGATAAAAAACATTTACCTATATAGGCTTAAAAAATTATCTCAACAGTTAAGGGTAGCATACTTGGATCAAAACCAGAACAACATAGGATACTACAATTAAATTAATTAAATGCATCTCAGAGAATCATTTTGAATAACTTTATCTTTCCTTCTACTCATCACTAATGTTAGGCCAGCAAGATGTTCCCTCAGGAAGAACTGCTTACTCCTTCCATTCCAACATGTGTGGTCCTAGTGATGGATATCCTGAGCCAATCCCATTCTCCTGTTTTCTCATTTGGTGAGGCAACTTATCACTGATGCATTCAAGGCTTCCTGAGACTGGGCATTCCGGTGGTCTCCCTTCTCCCCCAAGAGATGTATGAAAAAGCACAGCCAGCAACAAGTCAAACAGAAAGAAGCTATGAAGCTCTCTCCTTACCCTTCAATAATGCTTGATCAATACGACCTATATAATACTGATGAATAATTTAAAAAGTCCCATTTGAAATTAAAAAATATGCATTAGCCAGTTGCTGCAAATTACCTTTTTTTTCCATTCGCTTCATATCCATCAATTTCTCCACATTGTTGGGATCATTTAGCCACAGCTGCATGCGGACAAAGGGCTCCCGTCCCTTCAAACTCAATTTGTGCCAGGGCTTTGGGCGAGCCAAAAGGTCTGAGACCGAACCTTGCGTTAGCCCTAGGATTGTCTCCCCAAACAAACGCTGACCTAATAAGAAAACAAAACTGAAATGTATTTATTCAGCTAAGAGGCAAAAACTAAGCTAAAAAGACAGACAAAAACAATGCAAAAGAAAGGCTAGAAGGGGACCAAGTTCTTTGAAGAATAGCAGAGCTCTGCTATATAAAATCACAGTCAATTATTCTTACTTCAGACTTGCCTGAAAATCCAACAGAAATAAAAAGAAGAATAGTTCTTCTTCCATTAAAGTTGGAAATTACTTAGTTTAGTAGTTAGGGTCTGATTCTGGCAAGTGGAGGAGCTCAACACCTTTTGGGATCAGGACCTTATCATGGACGTAATGTACAAAAGTGAAACGTAACAAGATTAAAAAAGTAATTCAAGCTTTTCACTAAGCAGTCAACTCTTGCTGGAGTTGGCTTTCTGAGGGAAGGTGCTATAACTGATTCTTTCCATCAAGATAATACAATTCAATCAGACCTCTCCAGTTCAGCAACATTCACACCAGTGCACGTGCTTTCCATTTTCTATTGTTTTTACTACTATTGTAAATATATTTTAGCAACTGCAGGGAGGTTTTACAAGAGCTTTTAAAAAAATGTAGGAAAGGTGTATTTTTGCAACTTTTATGTAGTACTTGCTCGTAGGAATTCTTTATTTAAGCTTTGCTCAAATGCTATGCTCTAGCATAGCAGAAATTTCTATGTATTTGGGAATGTACATACAGTTATTGTTCCATTTATATGTAAAATTTGCCTTTGCAGTAACTACAGAAAATGTCCACAGCACTCAAAATCTGGCTTTACAGTTAGCTTCCTAACAACCTTAACACTTTTCTTGATTAAAACTGTCCTGATATGCAATAACTTTAGGGTTGCCAGGTGCCCGGTTTTCGCCCGGACTGTTCGTTATTCGGGTCCCCTGTCCGGTGTTAAAACAAAAAACAAACAAACAAAAAACCCCCAGAAAATACCAGACATGTGAAATGTCCAGTATTTCCCATTTCCCTCAGATGGAAGCAATTTTCCCCTGCCACGTCTGGTGGGGAATGAGGAGCACAGGGCCATTTAAAGGTGCAGAATCCCCTTCTCACCCCTTTGTTTTGATTAACAACTTTGGTCTTCTCCCCTCCCCCCCTTTTTTTTCCAATAGAATTTTTCCCGATTTTGGGGGGTGGGGGGGGAGTGTTTGGTATTTTTTGTTAAACCATCTGGCAACCCTAAATAACTTGTGTTACAAAAGAGAAACCTGCAGTCATCTGAGTCACTTGGTTTCTAATAGGATTTTATCTACTGTACATTGCAAAGGTAATCTGAAAAGCTTTTTACCTGCTAAGACTTGGCCTCTGGGTCCTGTGTCTGCCCCCCAAGAGAGTATTTTCCTTCACTTACTCTAGGTGTAAGGGAAGTTAACTTGCCGTAGTCTCAGGCCTATGTGGCCTAAGCAGATGCATGGAAGCCTACCTATGCTTCAGGCTCTAGCAGTAAAGGCACATATTTGAGCCTCTGAGCCAGGCCATCACTACCAACTACTTCCTGTCTATCCTTGCATCTGACTCTGACATAAGCAGGCCATGGCAAACATTCAGATCTCTCAAACCATGCCCTATTTCCCCCACTTGGAACATTTTTCACTGGCTCTTTTTTTTAGTTTCCCGATTTAATTGGAGAGGGAATTTGCTCGCTCCTGAGGCATCCAAATGAAGGGGCAAATGGGCAAGGGTTAAACAGAAGCTTGAGGAAGCTGCAAAAAGAGGTTTCCAGAAGAGGGAATGGTCATATGTAAATAGAGCTGGGGAGGGAGAATCCAGAATGGAGTAACATGGCCGCCACGTGCACGTTACTTTGTGTGGAGCCCAATATTGCCTACAGTTGTCTCTCTTCTTGTTTGTTACTATGGAAACAGAGAACCCTAAACTCTTATTTTACAAGTAAATAGAGGAAGAAGTGATTTAAAAATACATTCATTTTTCACCAGTTCATATACAGCTAAACCTGTATTACCTGGAATTCAGAAAGATCAGACTAAATGCCAGATTTAGTTCATATTCAATCCAGAGTGTATTTGTACCCTGGTACAGAGTGGGGATCTTTCAGAATGAAGCTCCCTCTCCAAAACTTCCAATTAGTTGAAATTTCCAGAATGAGTAATAGCACTGTAACCTATTTACAGTGGTTCCGCTTAACTTTTAAATTATCTTTGTAACTAAACAACATTCCCTTAATATTTCCAGCAATCATTAAGTATGCACATTACTAAGTATGAAAAGTTAGGGGATGCTGCAATTATCACATTAATGTTACATCGATGGAAAAAGGCAAAACTGAAATGTTTCAAAGGGCAACTTCTGTGTTTATTCTACTGCCCTAAGTACAACCATATGGGATCGAGTAACTGGTTTGAAGGACTGCCAAGCTAATGGGAAATGGATCATAAATCACTATCTGTAGGTAGTAGGTGTATCATACACAATATTCAAACAGCAATTGATGAGCCATGCCATTTAATTTTCTCCATCTTTATTCCTGACTTCCCCATCTTTAGGTAGCCACAAGAGTTCGCTTTTGAATTAGTGTCCTAGCTATTGTTATGGAAAAATCTTTACAGTACTTTGGCACTTTTTGCAAACCGCCCTCCCTCCCTACTTTTTGGTAGGTGATTACATTTTTTCCCCTCTGTGACAAGTTGATGTGGTGACTTAGTTGGAAAATCCTAGTACTGCTACCAACATCTCACTGCTGGAAATGGTTCCTAGAATTGTTACTAGTGTCTGAATACAAGAAAGCCAATTAGGGAAGGCCTTCCGAACACAGTTCAATTTAGTGACGCATGTGACCCAAACCACTTTCACTCTATTGCCCTCTTTAGTGGCTATTGGTTTTTGAACTACTGAGCCACTAGAAATTGGCTGAGACAGGTTCATGCGGCCTTGTGGCCTAAAACAGACGCCTCAGCTCTGAGTAAATCTGGCACTTCAGCTTACTGAGGGCAAAAGGAGACATTTAAACTTGTTCCACACCTAATGCAGAGTTTGGGGCACATTTCCTGGCTCTTCTGCTGCTTTTTAGGCTTGTCAGCCACACTGTAGGAAAACAAAAATCATGGGAAAAAAAAGACTAAGTAAAAATAGCATCAAAATAAATGTAAACAAAAATACTTTTCAAACAGTCTCTGGAACACCAGAGAAGGAACAGTACCTAACAGCATTCTGAACAAAAAACGAAGGGCCTGATCCTACAAACCCTTAAAACCACATGTAGAGTTTACTACTGTGAGTAGCTCCATAAAGTTAGCACTCTGACCATATAAACATAAGCACGTAAGTAGGTCCCTCAAGTTTAATGGGACTTGCTTTCATGTAGGACTGTATGTAGATGAACTGCCTAGCATTTTTTTAATGAATGTGACAAAAAATACTGAGGGTTTTACTTTAGTCTAAGAGGGCATAAAAGGGTTATATTTTTGCTATCATTCAAAAGCTTTAGCAGAAGCTGGGTATAATATTTTTAAGTGGTTATAATAAATGAGACAGTCTAAACTGTTTAAGGTCCTAGAAAAAGGTTTGGCTTGAGTTGAGAAAGGGATGACTACAAAAGCTTCATCAATCTCTTTTTAATGTCACAGAAAAATGATTTTCTCCCAACATCAACTCCAAAAGAGGCCTCAATATTGAGATCCCCAGCCACACTTTTCTGTTTGAAACGAGCAGCCTCCATACATTTACACAAAGCATTCTTGCTTCATGGCAGATGTTGACTACATTAAATTCCATAATCAGAAGTTTAACATTGGTGTACGAGTGAGCGGTGCAACAGTACGCTATCCTTCTCTACTGCCTTTCATCCGAGAACTTCAAAGTGCACCACAGACATTAAACCACCCAATACCTTGTGAGGAAAGGAAGTATTAAACATGTAAGAGGAGTTATAAAGGCCACAGATTAAGCCAGTGGCAGAATTGGGAGTAGAACCTACATTTCTTTGGCTCCCTTTCCTATACTTTAGCTAACTCATAACATTTCCTTTGGCACTACTGTATATTATCAACTACATCAGCAATACATCCATCTGGTAGCTTCACCCTGCATCAGAAAACTGCTCTGCAGACTAGGGTGGCAATAGTTTTGTGAGCCCTATGTGAAGTAACAATTAAGTTGTCCCATTCATTCCCACATACTACCTTCTTGTATCTGAATTCTTTCTCCCCCTCCACTGCCACCACATCCATTACATCCCTCCTTAACTCTCATCTGCCTGTGATTGTCCTTCTCTTGCAACCCTTTCCCTGGCCTATTTGTAAAGCTCTAGGGACCTGGTGACCATCTCTATGTGGACTGGGAAACCAGAAGCTAGACGTGAGGTACAGCTTCTCAAGTGGACAACTGAACAGCATAGAAATGTTGATATCTGAAGAGCCTATGGGACTCAGATGACTGTGGACAGGGAACGGGGGATGGTATTCAGGTTGGTACGTAATGTGGCAGAGTGACGATTCTTTGTTTGGAAGTAGGTATTTAAAATCTGGAGAATGTTCTTCAGTGGATTAGAACAGTTTCAGAACGGATTATGTTTTAGACCTGAATAGTTTGACAGGGTCCCTTAACAGTGTTTCTAATGTCACATCACTTTAAAAAAGCATGAATACTTTGTTTTATTTCATTAAAGACATTAGAACAAAGAAACTTACCAAGGTTGTTGTCTGTCAACACCTCTTTAACCCTCTTCGTAATGCCATATGTGTCCAATTCAGGAGACACGGCAACCAGTTCTTGAATGCTAAGTGCTGAATGGCCAGAGAGTGGCAAAGGTGTTGTCGACTGGGACTCAGAAACAGGTGGCTCACTTGATTCATGTGGTTTGCTGTCCTTACTTGTCTCTATAGCTGGACAGGGCTGCTGTACCAATTCAGTCAAACTCTTCACTGACTCACTGGAACTCATAGGAGACTCAGGAGCAGGACTGCAGCTGGCAGAGGTCTTTGGAGTGCTTTCTGTAATTAAAAAAAGGAGAAAACTGACTTTAGCATATACCTATCCTGCAACAAAAGCATTAAAGTTACATTCCTTCTTGTTTATGTTCTGCATACTTTTAACACATGCCCAGATATGCAAAAAATACAGCAAAGCCCTAAACTGCTGCTTTTAAGGCTTAAGGTACTGAAAAGTTTCATTTTAAAACTACGCTATTTTGTTATTTTATCAGAGATCGATCAAATGGTTTCTCAGATAGGCAAGATATATAAAAGCAACAGAAAAATAAAATTAAACAATTAAGATTCAGTAATGGGAAGAGCTGCAAGAAACTCACTTGGGTATAAATTTTAGATTTCAAGGTATTGTATTCTGTGTCATCTTCTTACAAAATATGTGGATGTGTCAATTATTATAGAGGACTATACTGCATAAGTAAACATGGTGTTTGAATGCAATCACAATAAAATGGAGGAATGAAAGGCAACAAAAGCCTTAACAATAAAAGCTTTTACCGTACTGTATTTAGGAACACTGCCCTGAAACATTCACAAAAAAACTCCTCTCTCAATCAAAGTAATTCTATTTTTTTTAGTAGTTTATGAAAGATGCAAAAGAGACAGACGTAAAAGGAGAGCAAGTTCTTTATAAATATTTAAAATAATAAGAATCCTACAAATCTTATTGTTTTCTCTGTTCACCCCCAAATGTTCATACAACAGAATATAAAACCCAGCAAATGTTATTTTTGTATCAGGAACAGCAAAGGAATTGTACTGTAAATTTGCCCCGATTCACCCATGCGAGGGACCAATTTGGCAGATCATCCATCTTGTTCACTGTACACTGTCAGGGATGGCATATATTCCCTACATGATAAACAGATTTCTTCTCAGGTCTGTGTCCTTTAACCCACATCAAGGTCAAAATTATGGCTGCCTGGCTAATAAACTGCACAGCACTAGTTCAAGTTCCTTCTAATTTTGTAAACATATCTTACCAAATAACTGCTGCAAATTTCCTATGAAATTCTACATACATGCACTGCAAATCACTCCTACAGTAAAAACCAAAACACCTCACACAGGACTAAACAAAAGCATTCACCAGTGTCTATTTTTTCAGCCTACTACTGCAGACATCAAAGGTAAAACAATCTCTCTCTCTCTCTCCTATCACTGAAATGTGGTATGTTGCTGACACAGTGGATCAGTTAAATTATTTTGTTTATTTTTGCATATCAGCAGCTTCTTGAGATTTTGCTTTTAAGATCAACCAACCATTTTATTTACTCAAAAAAGGTAAGACTATCTGAATCTGATTTCAGAATGCAACAAAGGAAAACAACTGGTCTATTCCATGAGCAATGAGTTATCGTGATTTCAAACTATATATTATACACAAACACAAACACGCATGAAAACACAAAATTCACAAAAATGAACATGGAGTGTATTTCTCTTAATTTAAAAGCATTTTCCAAAACAGACATTTTTGAGAAACAAAAAATTCATTCTTCAAGAAAAAATGAAATCTCAAAGCAGATGCTCTTTGTTACTAAATAGAAAATTGTTTTGTTTTTACAAAAGGCTGTTCTAGTAGAAGTTGCTAACAGAAGAAATGAAAAAAAATCTAATTTAATAATTATCACATTCTTGACCTCCTAATTTGCAGCCATTTCATGTGTTTTATGATATAATTAGTTAGTTCCCCTGTTAGTTTCACCTGAGAAAAAGCAGAGTAAGGATTCCAATAAATAGCAACTGACAGCATTATAGAAAATTAATATTTGACATATTGTCTACTTCTCAAACCTCACATCTGAGTGAGAACTACTACTGAAATTGAAATGATTAAATAAATACTTTTTCATAACAAGCAAATATATATGTAATTCTTTATACCCATATTTATGGCTAGAAAAAGGGACCATGTTACTGGTAGGGGGATAACAGATTTTACTGTTATGAGTTGGGGTAATCGTTCAAGAGGCAATGCTCCCCAGTTGATGACTAGGTCACTTTAATCAGTCCAGAAAAAAGAAAACTTTATTATCCCAAAGAGGTTATGTATGCAATTTAAAAGGCATCCATGCAATACTGTTAGTTAGAAAGACCTTACATGATGTTCTCTCTTCCATTAAGACCAACAAGCTGAAGGGAGATATTTCAGTCTAGAATGTTTGCACACACCGTTGCCTTGATTTTAGACATGGCATGTGGCTGAAATTCAAGAGGGCCGCTGTGTGGTTTGTAGGGATTTCTCTTGTTTTTCCTCTTGGAAAGCATTTTTATAATATTTAAAACAGGTAAACTTTTATATATACAACCCTTCTGAGATCATAACACTATACCCTGAGAAAAATAACGAAAGGCTGTAGGAGCAGGCATATATATTTATTTTGTAAAACACTCAGATATACTGAGTGTGAAAGATGTAATATTTAAAAGGGTTAAATAGTCACACATAATTATACATGCAAATGCAAAAAACAAGTGTTAGTGCAACATTAGAGATAAGAAACCAAGTACTCTAAAACTGGAGTCTGGGCAGTCATGTCAACAGAGCAGTATGCCTTCCTGTACCGTTGAATATAAGCTTTTATTCCTTATATGGCTGCTTTCAAAGGTGAACTGAATATAATTAGTGAAGTGTTGCTGACTGAATGTGCAGACAATCAGAATCATTTGAAAAGTGTGATCAGACCCCCTTCATCACTGAAGCTTACCGGTTACAACTGAGTTGTTCACATTGTTAATTACCTCACAGCTGATCAAAACAGCAAAGAAGAGAGAAATGCTCATATTATCAAGATCTGCACAATAAGGGAGCATGGCTTGTGGACCAAGCTCGGGAGGGGTCCCACTATTCTCCTTGGACATAAAGTGTTATAAGTCAGGAAATTTGGTTTCTACTGCAAACCAAGAGGGTGGAATAAGAATAATATATACACAACTACAGAAATTAATGAATGAATGTAAAATAAGTCAACATTGCCCACGTGCTTTCTATTTTGTTTTCTTTCTTAAATGTATATTAATTATGTTATTTTTAGAACACAAAAAATTGAAGGTTATAAAATATGGTTGTGTTAATGCTGCAGAAAAATACCTATGTTCTGAAATTTCCTGACCAGTGATAGTTTGATTCCGCAACCTTAACGGTAAAGTTTATATTTAAATCCAGCAAGTTAAGAAAAAAATAAACACTGCAAAATTGCATTCCACTCAGAACTGAGAGAACATGACTTGACTCTGGTTGAGCCCACTGCAATATATCAATCTCCTGTTCTGTGGTCGTGCATTCCCACATGCAGTGGATGAAGCCACTAAATGCTTAAAAGTGAGTATTTTTCAATCCAACCTCCTTTATGAATTCTTTCTACTTTTTCACACCACCAAAGTTCTACCTCAAATCACAGACTCCAAAGCACTGCTCAGAGCTCTTGCTTTTGTTCATCAGTTTTGGTTGTACATTATCTTTCCCCACAGTTTCAGAGTATTACAATGGATTCTGATTTAGCAGAAGGAACTGAGTGTCAGGTGGACTCACGCTTGGCAGTCACACAGACATATAAAGTCTGATGGACACTCCCACAATAACTTCCTGAGCATCAACGCCAAATGCACACATTCTTAATGGAGAGCGTTACCTGAGATATCAAAGAGAATCATGGACAATTAGAAATAATCTTTGATTACTTGAATCACAGCTAACTAAACTTCCCATTCCTCCAAAAGTCAGATGTGTCACATTAAGATTGAGTGGATGATGGGGGAGCCAGTCCAGCAAGCTCTGAACTCTCTCCAGAATCCTTAAAACCTCCAGATTCAGAAAGACTTCAGGTAAAAGTATGAATGGACCTGAATCTTACTTTCACTACAGTGTAGGATAAAAACCAGACCTACTGTGCATAAATCTTCAGAGTTTGCTGAACTTATCCCTACCCTGTCTGAAAAATTGTGGTCATGCTTGAAAACTATATTAAATGTGGGTTCTGTTATATATTCTTAAAGGAAGGATTTTCCCTTTTTCTTCATCTGGACTAAGCAGGGGATTATATCCTATAATTGGAGGAGGATGGATGGGATAAGATAATTGATTTGTGATGTATATTATTTTGATTCTTTCAATGGCAAATAGTTTTACAGCAGCGTGTCTTCAACTATTCTATCTATGCACCAACAGTGCCCAGATCTACAGACGATAGCCAGCAAGAGGTTCAAGCTTGGGAGGAACTAAACTAATTTAGAATAATACAGATACTGGTGTTCATAGGCTTGCAAGTAGTGCTTGACTTGACTAGTTACAAAGTCTTCAGAAGAGCATGGACTTCAACAGGATTGAGACACAAGGCCTAGAAATACTCCTTCAGAAGAGGTAATTGGGTGACGGTGCAGTGTTCAAATACTAGGTGATGGATACAACCTTATCATTCCCAGAAGCAGGACATTATAGAAGGTGACATTTCCTGGTGGGCTATCTGCAGCATGGCTCCTTATGAACAACTGTTTGTATTCTTTTTAGAACTATGGATCCCAGGAAGCACCAACTTGATTCAATCTCCGCTGTTATTTCTACAGTCATGGCTAGGGTTGCCAGGTGTCTGGTATTCACCCGGACAGTCCGGTATTTTAGTCTTCTATCCGGTAAAAAAAAATTAAGAAAATACCAGACACCTAAGATGTCTGGTATTTTCTTAATTTTTTTTTACCGGATAGAAGACTAAAATACCGGACTGTCCGGGTGAATACCAGACACCTGGCAACCCTACAAACACTCAGCGCCCGGCCTTCGCCCCCTGCAAGCCCCCCCTGACCCCAACACTCCCCCCTGGCCTCATGCTTACCTGGTTCTGCATGGCTCCTGGCACAAAATGGCTGTGGGCAAAAAGACCAAGGGGAAGCAACCACTTCCCTTGATCTTAGTGCTCAACCGCTCACCTGTTTGTATCCCTATCTCACTCTTAAAGGGGTCATGCTGTTTTATTTTTTATTTATTTATTTGCTTAATAAGTCTT